ATATGAGACGCTAAGTTGTTTCAATCTAATTGATTGCAATAATCCTCCAACTTTAGAAGAAATGACGAACATCTGGTTATTATCACCATGGTGAGAAGAACTTCCACCCAACACTCTCTTCGATGAAATTTCTGCCTTAGAAGAAGTTTATGTTCATCTGCAGGGCGATTCATCCCTTGATAAGTGGACATATTTTTTCAAGAACCTCCCCCCCACTTGTCCGCTATTTTTTGGAAGCAGACCTGGCAACCCTACTGGTGATGATCACAAGGAAAACATTTGCATTTGTCTGATAGTTGCCCAGAAGTACAGAGATACTGATTGATGGTTTTCAGGATAGTTTTAGGAACAGGTTTTCCTTCTGCCCATAGCATAGGAAAAGAAATGTTTTTGCTTGAGAGATTCTGGCATGATTTCAAGAGCCAATGTGTCAAATATTGGATGTATTCCAGCAAAACCTGTATCCAAGGCTTAAGTAAATAGGCTTAAAGTGGACAGTTAAGTATTTATAACTGGAATCTTATGTATGTTCATTTCAAACCAAACCTGTTTGAGCTTAGTTAAAGTAAGAAAATACACTCTGGAAAGAAACTGACATTTGCAGAAAGCATATCATTATAATTTAGTTTATGAGATTCATAGGATACTAAGCCAGACATGAAGAACCAGCCAGCTTTAATAATATATTTCAATATAGATAGTCCCTGTATAACAACTGTCTTGGGCATCAATCATCTGAAGTGCTATTATAACATTACAACCAATCTCGTCAGTTATGACCATCACAGAGCTCCTCGGTCATGTGATTGCTGTTTGTGTACTTCAAATAGCATGCATTTTCACTTGTGACAAGCACAATGGAAGGCGGACTTAAAATCATGGTGATGTAATTTTCCATTTAGCAACTATGTTGCTTAATGACCACTTTATCGGTCCCAATAGTGGCTGCTAAGCAAGGACTACCTGCAATATATTTCCTCATTAGAAACCAATAGTTGTATTTTCCCACATACATAAGCTATTAATACCAGTCATCGTTTTTTAAAACCTGTACAATCACATTGTAAAAAGAAAACACATTTGATGTTTAATAGGGACTTATCAGAGGCAGATAAACTGTTATGAAGGTTTTTATTAGTAGTAGCCTTATGACATTTATTGACAGTCTTTAAATACCAATATTATAGTTGTTACAAAATGTAGTAAGTAGTTAAAGAAAGGGATTGAAAATATTTATTCTTCTGCTTTAAAGATTTGATTTACATTTGCTTTTATTTGATGTTCCCCAGTGTATTATTATTTTATTTATTTATTTATTTATTTATTTATTTATTTATTTATTTATTTATTTATTTATTTATTTATTCATTCATTCATTCATTCATTCATTCATTCATTCATTCATTCATTCAATTTGTATGCCGCCCCTCTCTGAAGACTCAGGGTGGCTCACAATGCATTTAAAATCATTATAAAAAACATTTAAAAATTAAAAACATTAAAACTCATTCACACCATTCATGGCCGGATCTCGCCGGATCACAAGAGCGAGATCAACGGCCCCAGGCCTGCTGGAAAAGCCAAGTCTTTACCGCTTTTCGGAAGGCCAATAGGGTGGGGATGGTCCGGACCTCAGGAGGTAACTCTTAGCAATGTTCGTTGCTTCCAGTGCTGTCCTTAGAATTGGAAACATGGGACAGAATTAATTTCAGTATAATAACATATATGGATCTAAACCCTGATCCAAGTATTTAGCAAACCTTGTCTTATATCTATGTTTATTATCATCACATCTATTCACCAGTGGCCTCTTCATGTCCAAACTAAAAGTGTTGTCAAATATATGTTTGTATTTATTTATTTACTACATTTTTAAAAAATCCTCCCATTATTAATATAAATTATTACTAGGAAGAGTGCCATTAAGATTGCCACAGATAAGAAAATAAGATTAATCATTCCCTTCCAGTTTTTGAAATGTGCATGTTAAAGGTCAAATTGAGTTTGACCTTCATTTATTGCTGTGTGATAAGCAATTGTCTCTACTGAAGTAATTACATACTGTACAGTTGCTTAACTTTGTGACTATTTATACATGTAGTCTTCATTTAGTAACCACAATTGACACTACAACTCAATTACTAAGTGACATAGTCACTGCCGGGGAAATCATGTGATTGCAACTGTGCTTACATTTTTAACCAGCTCATCCAAAAACTGTGATAATTAGAAGAAAGATAATTAATGTTTGTGTTTACATTCTTTGGAAAGGAAGAGATTACAAAAGAATAAGCAGACCTGAAATGAGGAATATACATTGAAAAGATGCACTAGCATCCATTGTTTGTCTAATATGCTTGGAGCCCTGAGCAGTTTAGGAGGCAAACATAAGTGAAAGGAATTAAAGTGATTAAAGTTTTGTCAGTTAAAGGCAGCAGTTGGGAAATGGAATTGAGCTTCTAAACTTGTGGCCAACACTTTTCAGGGAAGCATACTGTAGAAAAGTTCAGGAAGAGATCACTTGTTTAAACAATCTCTTTGTTCTGGGAGAAGGGAAAAAATGGGCCAAGGCCAGGACAACATGTATTGATTGTAATGGTGAACACATGATTGAGAAAGAGTCTCTGTGAAGCTTGCAAATGCATGCCTTGGTTGCAAAGTTATTTTTTGGCACCATCATAACTTCAAATGATCATTGCATGAGGGAGTCAGTAAATGTGGTCTACCTGTATTACACAAAGGTTCTGCAGACAATTCTTGTGTTTTTCTTAGCTTCCTTATGTCTTCATGGAAATATGATCTTGGGAATTATAATTCTGAGAACAGAAAGATTTTGAGAATTGGATTTATGTTTGAAGAAATATTGGGGAAAAAACCTAAAAGTACACTTCAGTTGCTATTTCTTGTTGTTAACAAAATATCATTAAAAGTCAACTGTCTATTGGGAAAGGAAATCATGGGCTGGAACATTTATCCCTGAGGGTATAGAAGAAATGTTATCTGGTTTATTTTGGCAGCTCTGCATTAACTTCTCTGCACAGAGATTTCTATTTGACTAATGAGAACTGAGAGCTATTGCCAAATGTCATTTCTCAGTGAAACACAGAAGTAATTAGGTTTCCCATTAGTGAAGCACTGTAAGCAAATCACAGCAAATTTGTGCATGGCTTTGGTAAACATTTAATGTAACAGATACATTGATATAGGCAGCTTGTACTGTAATTTACTGTGCTTTGTGATAATCAAGAAGTACAAAGTAACATATTAAGCAGCAGTTGTGGCCTAGGAGTTCTAAAAAGATAAGGCTTGATTATATTTGGATATTTTGTTAGATTCTTCCATTTCAATTGCATCTTTTCATTCTGATTTTTTTTTTTAATTTGATTTATATGCCGCCCTTCTCCGGAGACTCAGGGCGGCTTACAATGTGTTAAGATGCAATTGAAATGGAAGAATTTAATAAAATATCCAAATATAATCAAATGGAGAAGTATAGGATGAGGATATTTGACTTAGAAATTGTACATGTGAAAAGGAACTTCCAGTTGTAGTGGAATACAAGCTGAATATTTGTGGATGTAAGTAGTACTGAATACAAATTACCTGCTAATTTTTAAAATGTCTGTATTCTATAGTAGAAACTAGTTCATTCAGCATGGATCTTACCTCTTACACTGATAATAATTTGCTCAAACCATCCAAATAATTTGCTCAGTCATTAGTATAGAATAACCTTGAGAACTTGATCACAGATAACATGACTTTAAATTTGATCAGGCATTCTGGAAGGGATACCTCTCTTGCCTCCAAAATTATTGCTTTGAATTAATTGTCAGAATTCACTCAACTATTGATTTTTTTCCTGATACTTACTATATTTTTCGGAGTATAAGACGACCGGAGTATAAGACACACCTACCTTTTTTGGTGAGGAAAACAAGAAAAAGAGATCTGCCTCTGCCTCTGAGCAATTTTGCAGCAAACAGCCTGCTTTACTTTCATTTTCGTTTTCAGCAAAGTTTGATTAGCACAAGGAAAAAAAATCTGCTCCAGCAATTTACCTCTTTGCAGCAAGCAGCAGAGCCCTGTGCAAAACAGCTGAGAGCAAATCAGCTGAGAGTTGGGAGGCCGATCCAATCAACTTGTGCTAATTAGGCTGTGCTGAAGCTGAAAGGAGCTGTTTTTTCTTGCTGTTTGCTTGCAAGGAGGTAACTGCTGCAAGGCAGAGGCCAAAGGGTGGGGGCCAGATGGGCGGAGCTACATTCGGTGTATAAGATGCACCTAAATTTTCACCCCCTTTTAGGGGGGAAAAGGTGCATCTTATACTCTGAAAAATACAGTATTTAGAATTTGGCTTTTTTCTTGGGGACTGACTGGAGATTCAGAGGGATTTGTGTGTATTTCTCTCTGTGTGTATGTGTGTATAATTGTATATATATAATAATTTGATTTTGGTTATCAAAATTTTGTTGTTAAAATAAAATATATTTTGTTGTTATTTTAATGCCTGAAAATTGCCTATAGTAGATCTAGTGATTAAATAAATGCATATATTAATAAAAAGTTCACATGTATGCAGATTTAATGCACCGCACAGGTAGTCGACAGATTCATTTAGTAACCATTCAGTTACAGCCCAGATGAAAAAATAAGCTTGTGAAAAATCCTTGCATTTATGATCTTTGCAATCTGTAAAGTGTAGGAAAGCTGAAATAAAATTTTAAAATTGTAATCTTTCACTTAGCAACTGTTTTGCTTAACAATTAATTTGCCAGTTCCAATTTTCACCATACAAGGACTACCTGTCTTTAAAAACAGAGTAAAAATACTTCTGTTGAAAAGATTAAAAAATTGAAATGTATAAGGAACACATTGTTGTGTATTCAGTTTACTATAGATTGGATGTTAATTTGAAAGCGCTGCTTATCTGCTAATAAATATTTCAGGTGATAATCTTGACAGTAAAACAAATAATTAAAATGAATTCATCTTTATTTTAGGCATGTCAGCAGCTAAATTGTTGTTTGAATCTGGACTTAGTGTGGTGGTTTTAGAAGCTCGTGACAGAGTTGGGGGAAGGACTTTCACCATTAGAGTAAGTAATTTTTTAAACAAATGTTAAAATACCAATCATTAAGTTTTGTAATTTTTAGTCTGCAACATTTTGGAAAGAGATGCTAATCTCCTAACCATGCTAACTGGGACTGTTGGAATTGCAATTTTAAATTGGCACAGCCACACTTGGTGACTTAAGTTACTACTGGCAAGCGAGGACTCCCTGGACTATAGTTCTGTATTGCAACTTGAGCAAGTCATCGTCCCAAGGGCTTTAATCTAGCCATGCCATAAACACCATTAGTACTCTGAAAGATCCTCAGAAATTTCACAGTAGCATACTGAGTACCATCTGAGCTGAGCGGCCCATTATCTGGCACTATATTATCAAGCATTTTATATTTTCCATCTATGTGATTTACTCAGTAAAAATACGGGAGTGTTTTACCATTGTCTTATCCCATACAGTATGAATTGGTGCCATTGTCACTACGTAATTGTCTGCCCCTAGCATCTTCCTATATCACTGCTGCCCTACTGGCATTCAGGCGTCCCTCAGGTAAGGTAACACCACCTGAAAAAAATTATTTCACAGAGGCAGGCAGCCGCTTCAGTGATCCCTGGCTAATACGTGCCATATGTTTTTTTTAAAAAAAAAACTTGCTGCCCTATATAGGTCCTTACTTATTTTGGGTGGGCAACTGGAGTGTCCTCCGTGCCTTGGGTGACCCTGCTGAGAACATATACTCTTGTCATACATTCCGAATGGTCTTCACTACTCCTTCCATTGAACATGCCCACCACAATGAGGTGGAACAGCAGAACTGAGGGGCATTTAACTGTGTGTTTAAGTTAATTTAATAATATAGAACATAGGCCATACCTTGAAGACTCCAATGTAAATTTCAGCTATCTTTTTATAATGAACGTGTCAGTTTGCAACTCGCAAAGCATTCTTGACCTGCTCTCAAGTTGCCATAGACAGTGGGATGGGGAATCGAACATCGCAGCTGCATTGGGGAACTTGCACTTCAGTCAAAACAAAGCGCATTCCAGCCAACCATGTCAAGATCATCTCCACGCAGACCCACAGTGGCCGGAGGGAGGGACCTCTACAACCTGTGAAATTGCTTTGTTGGATAATGTGATTGATCACACACCTTAGGGGGGAGGGGGAAACAGGGTCAGAGCCGGGGTGTGAATTAAGTGAGGTCAGAGTTGGCTTCACTTGGTCCATGCCGACATGAAGCTCCTAATAAATAACTGGATTTCTTTTGAAGCTTGGCTTGAGGCTCATGATTTAATTAGGGCATCGGTCAGAACCCTGACTGAGCATTTTTGTTCTGTGATTGGAACATCTATTATTATTTCTGATGATTTTTCTTGTTTTGGCAGAACCAGCAAGTGAAATATGTCGATGTTGGTGGATCCTATGTGGGACCTACACAGAATCGGATTCTGCGACTGGCTAAAGAACTTGGCATAGAAACTTACAAAGTCAATGTACGTGAGGCTACCCTCCTACATACAAGGGTGAGAATCACATTTGCTCTGATTACTTCTGGAAACATACAGTACATAACTGAGTGGATTATGTTGTGAGGGATTTAGGTCTTAGGCTGGACTTTATTTATTCCAATTGCATGCTGTATTTAGCTTTGTGTGATACAGAATGATAATAAACCATGTGGTATGGTTTCACGGATGTTTTAACAAAAAAAATTATGTTAAAATATATACCATTTCTTATAAAACTTTATATTTTAATAGTTGTGGTTTTGGATTTCCGTTGCATGATTAATGTCCCCAACAGCAACCATAATCAGAGTTTAAGACATCCTGTATACATCGTCCCACTATAGACTGGGACTCATAGATTTATTTGTGAGTAGAAAAAGAAAGGGGGGATAAATTGCAGCTCTTGTATCCAGGCTTTAAAAATCCAGAAGACCACTTGATGGCATTGGAAAGATACAGAAAATTCTTCCAGATTTTTGCAGGCCAGATACAGTAATATGATAGATAACACCATTGTTTAAATTGATTATGATCTAAAATATAATCAGCAGACTTGTTTGTGTTATTGGTTGCTGCTTATTTTAGCTGGATGAACATCTTAAAGCAGGGGTGTCAAATTCAAGGCCCGTGCGCTGAATCCGGCCCGTGGGGTGCTTAAATCTGGCCCATGGGGATGGCCTGAAAATAGCAAAGGACTGGCCCGCAGTGCCTCTGGCAGCCAAAATGGGGTGTGGGGGGAGGGGCACATGAGGCCCTCAGCATCTCGTTTTTGGCCTGGACAGCCTCCTGCAGCACTCTGCTGGCCAAAATGTGGCATGGGAGGGCTGTGTGAGGCCCCCTGCCCCATTTTGGCTGGCAGGATGCTGCAGGAGGTGTCTGTCCCATCTCCCCACCCCCACCCCAGCCATCCCGCGGAGGAGAACTACAATGCTGATCCGGCCCGCGAAGAAATGCATTTGACACTCCAGAAGTGACCAAGCTTCTTTGGATGAAAGCCTGTATGAAGGTTATACCAATAATCTTTATCTCTTTAGAATAAGTGGACCCTTATTTATTTTGGTAATACATTTATATAGTTATGATAGATCTGTTGGATTATAACTTTCATCATGATGAGAGTATACTCCAACATTTCTGGAAAGCATTGATTTGGAAAAGGCTAGGCTAAATTGATGTTATGAGTGAAGTTTGATGAATTTCTAATTCTTGCTTGCAGTTGCATTTGACTCAGAAGAAAAGTGTTCATATATGAACAACATGAATTGAATGAGAATCTATAAAATGCTAGACATTCAGTTCTTTAACACTATAAAAAAATCTGAAGACATATAGCAAAGGGAAATTGACTTTTGTCATAGTTTATGTAATATTTGTTGGCTTCCCTGGTTAGTATATTTGTTTCTGAATTTTTATGTCATAAGGATGCTGGAATGGCTTGTCGTATTATTTTCCAGTGTGGTATAGACCATTCTTTAAAGGATTTTTAACACATGAGAGAAGCGCTTCCAGCACAGTCTTTGTTTCAAAGAAGAAGGAAGGAAGGAAGGAAGGAAGGAAGGAAGGAAGGAAGGAAGGAAAGAAGAATAGAGGAAAAATAGATGGAGATAAAGAGAGTTTAACTGGAAAGTATAGAGAGAAAAATAGAAAGAAAAATACTGCTTAGGTTTTACAAAATTTACAAAATCTACATCAGAAAAGCACCTTGTCTTGTGCAACTAGCTAATCCTCAAAGAGAACTCTGTTTTGCTTTTCAGCAATTCTGTCTCAAGTCATTTGTATATCTGTCTACTCCTTTGCTCCTTTCTACTCAACAGCAAGTGTAGGATGTCTCTGCCCTCCAATTCCCTAGTAATTGGAGGGTGGAAGTGATGAACTGCATTATCTGTAATGTAAATACATGTCTGATCATAAAGCAAAATGCTATGATTACATGATTCATGTTTCATCTAGATAGATAGATAGATAGATAGATAGATAGATAGATAGATAGATAGATAGATAGATAGATAGATAGATAGAAAGAGAGAGAGAGAGAGAGAGAGAGAGAGAGAGAGATTATAGATAGAAATGAAACATGTAATCATAGAATTTTGCTTTATGATCAGACATGTATTTATAGCCAACTAAATTAATGCACTGATTTTTCTGAAGCAATGGTAACATTCAAGGGGCCACACTTATTTTAATTCCTATAACAACTGTATGAGGGTTCAATGCTCTTTTTTCAATGTATGTCTTTCTCTCCAATACAGATAAAAGTAAATTATAATTTAATGAATTAAAAGGACAGCAGTAAAAGAAAATGTGAAGTTAATGTTGAAATTTTACTTTGCACTTTAGTTTATATTTGCATTTCTCAATCTGGAAAAGAAAGGTAATGAAGAAGTCAAGATCTGCATTTCATTTTTTCATTTTTTTAGTAACTACTGTATGTGTTAGATTCATTTCTAGATTTGCATATACAATGTTGATGAATGTATTTCTAATAGACATTTGACTGCAATTACTATAATTACAAATTAATTATTACATATGGAAACTTAAGACTAATATGAGAGGAAAGAATCAACAATTCAGTTATATCTTGTTAATTTTTTCTGTTTTAGGGAAATTCCTATTCAATGTATGGTATCTTTCCCTCCACATGGAACCCTTTCATATATCTAGATTACATCAATTTCTGGAGAACAATGGATAGACTGGGAAAAGAGGTATGCTGGGAATAATGAATATGTATGCAACTGACTGAAACAATAAATAAAAATTTGCATTGTTTCATCAAAGCTTACAAGGAAAATGTTTATATCACTGACAAAAAGTATTCAAGAAGCAGAAATATTTTTACTTACCTTTAGTGCAGATATTAAAATCTCCAATTTTATAGTGAAAGGGTTTTGTTTAACGGACATATTACAATGTCCCATACAGTTTTATAGAGGAATTATTTACATTAGTCCTTCCTTCTCTGTAAGATATAGCACCTCCATTCTTCTACTTTTTAAATAGGAAGATTATTAAATGATTATACAGGTGGTCATCATTTAGTAACCACAATTGGGACCAGCAACTCCATCACTAAGCAGATTGGTTACTAAGTGAGAAATTACATGACCCTGATTATGCTTCCCTTTCCCCCATCCCCTGGCTCTTTGAAATGCTCATCTCTGTGGCACTGTGATAGCCAGTTCAAAACTGACAAGATTAATCAGTTTCACACCTTCCAACTTTGTTTGGCTCTTAACCACTCACCCATCCTTTGGAATGCTCATCCTGGAACTGGGATAATTAATAAGAATGGAGTTCGTTTGAATTTACAATCATTGGACAGGAGGTAAAGTATTAACTAGAAGTCAGCACTGGTTTGTTAAAAACAGATCATACCAAACCAATTTTATTCCATTCTTTGATAAAGTGACTAAATTAGTAGACCAGAGAAATGCTGTAGACATAGTTTACTTAGACTTCAGGAAGGTATTCAACAAAGTGGACCACAACATACTTCTTGGTGAGCTAGAAAAAAGTGGGATAGATTAGCATCATCACCAGATGAATTTGTAACTGGCTGACAAACTATACTCAACAAGTATGGTACTCCTTAATGATACTATGTCTACATGGAGGGAAGTAAGCAGTAGAGTACCATAAGGTTCTGTCTTAGGCCCAGTACTCTTCAATATCTTCAGAAATGATTTAGATGAGGGAGTAGAAGGGGAACTCATCAAATTTGCAGATGGTACTGAGCTGGTAGGAATAGCCAACACCCTAGATGATAGGCTCAAAATCCAGGTGGATCTTGGCAGACTTGTACCTGGATGCTACCTAATAAAATGAAATTCATTTTGAGACTCTAGAACAGGATTGTCAAACTCAAGGCCCGTGGGCCGGATCTGGCCCGCAGGATGCTTAGATCTGGAAACAACAAAGGATCAGCCCGTGATGCCTCTGCCAGTGAAAATGGAGCCTGGGGGTGTGTGCAGCCCCCCACGCCCCATTTTCAGCTGTGATGGCCTTCTGAAGCCCTCTGCCAGAGAAAATGGAGCTCGGGGGGTAAGTGCGTGCACTCTGTTTTCGCTGGCAGAGGGCTATCAAAACAAACTAACAGCAAAACAAAAGGAGAAATGTTTCCCCTTTTGCATTTGAGCATCCAAGAAGGGACAGGAAAGGAGAAAGGGAAAGAGGAAAGAAAGAAAAAGATGGGAAGATGGGAAGAGAGTAAGGAAGGAAAAATAAGGAAAGAGGGGAAGGAAGAAGAAAGGAGAATGAAGAGGGAAGGAAAACGAAGAAAAGGAAGGAAAGAAGGAAAGAGATTATAATGAGAGTCAAGGAGGGTCTCAGATAAGTCCTGCTTTAGCACTTGGCCACCACAGGTGCCTACTACACGAGTCCTGTGTCACACCTGCCATGCCATGTCTACTCTCAGCCACACCCACGATGCCATGCCCACCCCAGCCATGCCTCCCCCGGGCCCTCTAAGGTCAGGCACAACCCTAATGCGGCCCCCAATGAAATTGAGTTTGACACCCCTCCTCTAGAAAGAGTGCAGAGAAGAGCAACAAAGATGATTAGGGGACTGGAGGCTAAAACATGAAGAATGGTTGCAAAAACTGGGCATGGCTAGTTTAGTGAAAAGAAGGACCAGGGGTGACATGAGAGCAGTGTTCCAGTATTTGAGGGGCTGCCACAGAGAGGAGTAGGTCAGCCTATTTTCCAAAGCGCCTGAAGGCCACACAAGGAACAATGGATGGAAATTGATCAAGGAGAGATTCAACCTAGAAATGAGGAGAACTTTCTGACAGTGAGAACAATCAACCAATGGAACAGCTTGCCTTCAGAAATTGTAGGTGCTTTATCACTGGAAGCTTTCAAAAAGAGACTGGACTGCCACTTGTCAGAAATGGTATAGGGTCTCCTGTTGAGCAGGGAGTTGAACTAGATGACTTTCAAGGTCCCTTCCAACTCTGTTATTCTGTAAAAGGGATTTCAAGAGAGTAAGAAAGCACACAGTGAGGAATGTGCATTGAAAGCAATGTGCTGGGGCCAGCAGCCATAAGCACAGGATGCAAAAAGCCTGGAGTAATTGCTTTTGATGTATGTTTCCCATTGTGTGTCTGATGATTCTCTTGTAATCCCCTCCTGCACCCTGCAAGGGAGGGAGCGGAAAGAAAAACAAGTAAGGCACAGGAAAAACTGACTGTGATGGCAATCCCATGGCTGAGAGATGCTGCTTCATAGATATGGGCACATGAAGTTATTTTTTCAATACCATTCAACTTCTAATGGTCACTGACTGAGGCTGACCAAGTAACCAAGGACCATCTGTATTTATAAAATAACAAAAAAAATTCAGCTATAGGTGATTTTTGTAATCAACACTAAAATATACTTTGTATTAAATATAGATGCATTTGCTTGCGTATGTAGCCTTGTAATATATTCCAAAACATTTATCTTCATTGGACATATCAATTATTTGTATTGATCACAGCAAGATCCTTGGTTGGATATAAATTTAACCAATTAAATGGATTTTTAGCTTCGAAGAGCATGATCACTAAATTTTAAATTTGAGCCGAATTCATTTAATAATTTTAAACTATTTTAACTGATGTTGTCTTGTGTTTTAATAGGCTGTACACCGCCCTGAGTCCTTCGGGAGAAGGGCGGTATAGAAATAAAATTATTCTTATTCTTAAATTATTCTTAAATCTTCCAAGACAAAAAAAGTGTCTTTCTAAATAACTGTCATTATTAATTCTGATATACACACTTTAAAAACTGAGTGAAAAAAAATTAGATATCGCTATTTTGTCTAAACTATGGAAACTGTTTTATATCACTATCAAACATCTTCAGTACATCTTAGATTATAGCTCAATCAATAAAGCATATTTCAGATGCATTGGACCAATTATTTTGTACAGAAAACAAATTTAAATTTAATTTAATTTAATTTAATTTAATTTAATTTCCAATTTATATACCGCCCTTCTCCCTGAGGACTCAGGGCGGTGTACAGCCAAGATAAAAAACATAGAATACAAATATTAAAACATTTAAAAATATATATAAATTTTGGCCCGAAAGTTAAGAATCACAGACTAATTAAAAGAATTTTAAAATTTTAAAAATTTCTTCTTAGGCCAACCCGGCTTGTTGAAAAAGATAGGTTTTCAGGGAACAACGGAAGGCATTGAGGTCCTGGATTCTTCTTATCTCCAGGGGCAACTGATTCCAGAGGGTGGGAGCCCCCACAGAGAAGGCCCTCCCCCTGGGGACCACCAGCCTACATTGTTTGGCTGATGGCACCCCGAGGAGGCCCTCTCTGTGGGAGCGCACGGGTCGATGGGAGGTCATCGGTAGCAGCAGGCGGTCTCGGAGATAACTAGGCCCTATGCCATGGAGCGCTTTAAAGGTGATAACCAACACCTTGAAGCGCACCCGGAAGACCACCGGGAGCCAGTGCAGCTCGCGCAGGAGCAGTGTTACATGGGAGCGCCATGTTGCTCCCATCACTACCCGCGCTGCTGCATTCTGGACCAGCTGGAGCCTCCGGGTGCTCTTCAAGGGGAGCCCCATGTAGAGAGCGTTGCAGTAGTCAAGGCGAGAAGTGACGAGGGCGTGAGTGACTGTGCACAAGGAATCCCGATCAAGAAAGGGCCGCAACTGGCGAATCAGGCGAACCTGATAAAAGGTCCCCCTGGTAACAGCAGTCAGATGTTCCTCCAAAGACAGCTGCCTATCCAGGAGGACTCCCAGATTGCGAGCCCTTTCAGTGGGGGCCAAAGACTCGCCCCCAATAGTCAGTGATGGAGTCAACTGACTATATCGGGATGCCGGGAGCCACAGCCACTCAGTCTTGGAAGGGTTGAGCCTGAGCCTGTTCCTCCCCATCCAGATCCGCACAGCCTCCAGGCACTGGGACATCACTTCAAGGGCATCGTTGGGGTGGCCTGGGGTGGAGATGTACAGCTGGGTGTCATCAGCGTACTGGTGGTATCTCACCCCAAAGCCACGGATGATCTCGCCCAGCGGCTTCACATAAATGTTGAACAGAAGGGGCGAGAGGACCGATCCCTGCGGCACTCCACAAATGAGAGGCCTCGAGGTCGACCTCTGCCCCCCTGCCAACACAAACTGCGACCGGTCGGAGAGAAAGGAGGAGAACCACCGCAACACAGTGCCTCCCACCCCCAAATCTTCCAGCCGGTGCAGCATGATACCATGGTCGATGGTATCAAAAGTCGCTGAGAGATCTAATAGGACCAGAACAGAGGAATAACCCCTGTCCCGAGCCCTCCAGAGATCATCCACCAACGCGACCAATGCCATTTCCGTGCTGTGCCCAGACCTGAAACCCGACTGGAACGGATCTAGATAGGATGTTTCCTCCAGGAATTGTGGAAACTGTTGCGCGACCACACTCTCAACAACCTTCGCAATGAAGCGAAGGTTGGAGACAGGACGATAGTTAGCCAATATTGCTGGGTCCAGGGACGGCTTCTTGAGGAGAGGCCTCACCACCGCCTCTTTCAGGGCAGCGGGGAAGTGACCCTCACTCAACGAAGCATTAATGACGCCCTGGAGCCAGCCTCGTGTAACCTCCCGGGAAGCCAGTACCAACCAGGAGGGACACGGGTCCAGTAAACATGTGGCCGCACTAAGTCTCCCCAAAATCCTGTCCACATCATCGGGAGTCACAGCATCAAACTCCTCCCAGATAACATTCTCAAGACTGTTCCTCGTCACCCTGCCCTGATCTACCCAGTCAGAGTCCAAATCCCCCCGGATCTGAGCGATTTTGTCATACAGGTATTGTCCGAAATCCTCCGCCCTGCCTTCTAAGGGATCCTCCCGCACTCCCAGATGGAGCAGGGCGCGGGTCACCCTAAACAGGGCGGCCGGACAATTCCCTGATGACGCAATAGAGGCGGAAAAGTAGTTAGACTTTGCCGTCTTTATCGCCACTAGGTAGGCCTTAATATGCGACCTTACCAGTGTTCGATCAGATTCAGCGAGACTGGCCCTCCAACCGCTCTCCAGGCGTCTTTTCCGGCGCTTCATTTCCCTCAGCTCCTCAGTAAACCAAGGAGCCGCCCGGGATCGGCATCGGGTCAGAGGCCGCAAAGGCACAACTCGGTCCAAGGCCCCACCAGCCGCCCGATCCCAGGTGGCTACCAGGTCCTCGGCCGAGTCATGTGCTAGATCCTCAGGAAATGGCCCAAGCTCCGTCTGGAACCTATCAGGATCCATCAGGCGCCTGGGGCGGATCCATCTAGTTGGGTCCGCCTCCCTGCGGCGAGGGGTCGCGGTTCGAAGATCTAGGCGAAGGAGTGAGTGGTCAGTCCATGACAAGGGTTCCATGTCTATATCCCCTATAACAAGACCACTCAACCACTGGCCAGAGACAAAAATCAAATCCAGAGTGTGACCTCCCCTGTGAGTAGGGCCATGAACTAACTGGGTCAGGTCCATGGCCGTCATGGAAGCCATGAACTCCCGAGCCACCTCAGACGTTTCACCGACGGATGGCAAGTTGAAATCACCCATGACTAAAAGCCTGGGTGTTTCTACTGCCACCGTGGCTATCACGTCGAGTAGCTCAGGTAGGGCTGTTGCCACGCGGCAGGGAGCCAGGTACGTAAGCAACAAGCCCATCTGAACCCCACGGCCCCACCTCACAAGGAGGGACTCACATCCGGCTATCTGAGGCACAGTGGTCTCCCTCGGATCCAGATCCTCGTTAATAATAACCGCCAACCCCCCGCCCCTCCCCTGGGCCCTCGGCTGATGGAATGCTCTGAAGCCTGGTGGGCACATTTCAACCAGAGGGACGCCGCCCTCCGGGCCCAACCAGGTCTCCGTAATACCCGCCAGGTCCGCTCCTCCCTCTTGTATAAGATCGTGAATGAGGGGGGCCTTATTAACCACGGACCTGGCATTGCATAACATCAGCCGAAGGCCCAGATCCTGAGTGTCTAAGCCACCTAGTCTCCGAGAGGAGCCATGGGGACCGGGACACGCAATTGCTCTCAAACAGCGAGTGCGAGCCCCCAACACATGATATGGTCCTCTGCTCCCGCCATATCTGCCCCTCCCATCTACCGTGCAGATGGTACAGACCTCATAGGTATCGTCCCCCATCCCTTTCCCAGTCCCTCGACCAACACCTCCCAAATCGTTACCCTGTGCCGGGCTCGGCTCTGACCCTGGTGGATTTCCCCCCCCCCATCCCCCAGAGTCTTCTTCCCAATTTCTCTAGAAAGATCATTACAAACCCCCCTCCCAGAACCCCTTAAAATCTTAAAAAATTTCCCTAAAAAACCCCACAAATTCTTCCTTGCTCCATGCCATCTCTCTGGACTCCAAAGTCCGTCATCGAGATAGGCCCTCGATAATGTGGAGGGCCAAACCTGCGAGAGGGGAGAATCTCGCAGGGCAAGGAGTTCCGACACCGAATACATATAATCATCAGGGGAGACAAAGTCCAAGGGAAGGGAGTACTGCTGATGTTACAGGCATAGGGAAAAATTCTAGTCCATGGTTAGGCCATCAAGCCCATTGTCCTCTCACGACAATGGCCAAGGAGGTGCATATCCTTCGACCCCGGAGGTTTCCAGGGCAGCCATGCTCTCACCTAGGCCACCTATGGAAACTCTGATGGAAATCCGGGCGTGGGGATAGCCATAGTCCGCCTCCCACTGACCTTACGTCCATAGAACCAGTATCCCTCCTGGGATTAGTAGCATCCGGGAGACCAAGTATCCTGCTCAGAAGGAGGTTTAAGTTCGTAAATTCACGTCGAAGAGATTTTACATGGCAGGGAGTTCAGACAGGCTAGATGTAAAAGGGGGAAAATTCGGAATAATTCAGCAGGCCAAAGTAGATGGGTAGTTGTAACCGTAGTAAGGCCCATAGGCCTAAACTCGGTCCAAAGGATGGAAGAGGGAGGGGAAATTCAAGCCGCATAGGTTTGTAGTTCTTTTCCGACCCCTGCAAATCCCTCAACCATTATCTGATGGATAATGCTGCCCAATTTCGTTCCCCCCCATCCAGCTTGTCCTGGGGGGGGTGTCTCTGGGTCCCCATGGAGGTAACCCTTCCCCCAAGGGTCCAACACTCTCCAATCTCCCAGAGCTAAGTCTAAGGCTGCTGCTGAAGAATCCTATGCTGTAGTTCAGGTCCGCAAGCCGCTGGGAGCCGCCCCGACATCAGCTGCCATCACCGCCGCCGCCGCCATCGGCCTCCCCACGGACGCCCCCAGCCGCCCCCTGCCTCTAGATCTTCCTCAAGGCATCCAGGGGCGTGGGGAACCTCCGTAGGGGCCTCAAACGTCGCCGTCATCAGGGGGCCGCCACCGCCGCCGCCGCCACCGCCCGTAGCCGCCGGTGCTAGTGCCGCCCCCGCAGGCTGCATCCTGCACGCCCTCACCCGCCAGCGTTTCAACGTCGTCCTCCTCGGAGCTGGGGTGGTCCGGAGAGCTAACAAAGCTCTCAATGGGATCCCCAGGTGCTCTTTTTCCCAAACGGGGGTCATAGCTGTTCAAAATGACCCCCCCGAAGTCCCCCCAAGCTGAGGCATCGCCCCCCAAGGATCCGGAATTCAGCGCCGGAACGCCATCTTAGACATGCGCAGAAGAAAAATGAGAAAATCACTACAGTTGCAATGAAAATATGCTTCAATAAATATAGGTTTTGCAATGTCTTAAAGTTATTATGTTCTAGAAGAAGTAATTGAATATAGGGCTTTGTGACAAGGTTTAATATTTTTGAATGTACAAATCTTATTGCAGTACATATTTATTTCAGGAATATTGATGGACAATGAAAATACATTTTCCATGCTTTCTTTTTGCTAAAAACTTTTTATTCATTATTGGACAGAGAATTATATGGCCCCAATTAGTGGGTTGAAGTCCTAATGTCACTTGCAATTCATGAACAAGTTGCTTACAAGGGTGGATTAGCTTGAAGATATGATTGTGCCTTTTTTTAAAAAAAACTGTTGTGTTACAATTTCATTCATTTCATATGCAATATTCTCTCTCTCCCTGTTAAAAAAAAAAGCAGAGATAGATGATTTAACTTTGCAACACGATTGGGCTTGTTTCTTTTTATGACCATATTGCAAGGACAATGGATTGAGGCTATTGATTCATGAAAAGAACATCAGCAAATAAACTCTGCATATTTGCAACACTTGGTTTGTTTTTAGATTCCTGCTGAAGCACCATGGGATGCACCACATGCTAAAGAGTTGGACAAAATTTCAATGAAACAGTTCATTGACAAACATTGTTGGACAAAGTAAGTGATTCATCTTCAGTTATAATCTTACTACTATATGCCCATTTTCTAGCTTTCTGCATGTCATGCATACAACATGCTTCACTGGTTTTTCTATATTTTCTTTTTTCTCAAGTGGGAGATAACCAATTGTATTACAATCGTATCTCCAATCATATGTTAGAATGTTAGAGCATATACAAACTTAAATGATGATAACATTGTAACTGCATTGGTCTTCCATTGAAGAAAGAAAGAAAACTCCTGATTAATGAAACAACCCTTACTAATTTATAATATAACTTTATTCAATAAAATAGATTGGATTTTCTATATATCTAGTTAGCTACTGAGTTTCAGCCTCCCAGACACTGTTCAGAGATGTTTTCCTTCACCATAAATCTCCCATTTAAGAAGGGCCCACAAGTTCTCAATAGGGTTTAGGTCGGGTGAGGAAGGAGGCCGTGTCATTATTCTTTCATCTTTAAGACCTTTACTAGCTTAGCCATACAGTGGAGTACTTCAATGCATGCAATGGAACATTGCCGTGCATAAAAATCATGGTCTTCTTAAAAGATGCAGACTTTTTTCTATACCACTGCTTGAAGTGTCTTCTAAAAACTGGCAGTAGGTTTAGGAGTTAAACCGAAATCAAAATCAAATAATTGATTTTGAGTCCATCTTCAACGAAAAATGGTCCAACTAGCTCATCTTTCATAATATCAGCCCATACCAGTACCCCACCTTGCTAGCACATGAGTCGAAGTGGAGCTCTGTGCCCGTTACTGATCCACCCATGGTCCCATCATTTGGTCCGTCAATAGTCACTCTCATCTCATCATCCATAAAACCTTTGAAAAATCTGTCTTCAGATATTTCTTGGTCCAGTCTTGCCGTTTCAACTTATGTGTCTTGTTCACTGGTGATCGGATTTCAGCCTTCCTTACCTTGGCCATGTCTCTGAACACTGAACACCTTGTACTTCTGGGCACTCCAGGTAGGTTGCAGTTCTAAAATATGACAGCAGTGGAGGATAATGGATTTCTGGTAACTTCATGTTTAATTCTTCTCACATCTTTGGCAGTTAAGGTGCATTTTTTTTTCTCAACACGTTTCCTGCAAACCTGTTGACTATTTGCAACAAAACGTTTGATGATTCTGTGATCACGCCCCAATATCTTAGCAATTTCAAGAGTGCTCCATCCCTCTAAAAGACTTTTTACAATTTTTGACTTTTCAGAGTCAGTTAAATCTCCTTTTTAGCCCATTTTGCCTGAGGAAAAGAAGCTGCCTAATAATTATTCACACCTTGATATAGGGTGTTGAACTCCTTAGGGTCTTTGTAATAATAAGGCTTCTCCAGATCTGTAGTCTTGAGGACTTTGAAGCTGACTCAAAGTAGAAATAAAAAGCTGCATTTCCCATAATATCCGAATATATTCACACATTTTTATTAAAAAGTTAGGAACCATTAGCTGCTATCACTTTTTCAGTTTGCAACCTGATTAAACATGGAGCAAAATAGAATGGAAATGGAAAATTATAATCATAATCAAATTTGGAGGATTGGTCTAAATCAAGTTATTGAACTTTCAGTGGAGGTGTAATCTGTAAGCTAAAGGTGTAAGGTGTAAATTGACCTTTGAACAGCATGCCATGTTCAAAAAGTCATTAAGACCAAGAAGGGGGTGGTGCTAGAATAAATATCACACTATTCCAATAGAGGCACTCTCAGCAAGGAAGATGGTAGATTTCTTACTAGCATTCTTCTACCCATCCAAGAAGAAGCCAATAATTGTTTTCACCTACTAATGATATTCATGATAAGCTTTATAAGGCTCCACTTGGAAAAAAGAAGAATAATTATTTGGTAATAATATAAAATAGAATGTTCCCCAAAGCAAAGAGCATTGCATACTGCAGCTATTGAATATACAGTATATGCAGAATCCATTGTTTCTGGGTTCTTGCTACTACACAAACCAGTTGCTCAAGAGGAGAATGAGCTTGGGATATCACCTACTCCTGCATGATGTCTTGTGCTGCTGTAATTTAAGTGTCCCCAAGCATTGAATCGTGAATCCTTCTACATTTAGCAAAATGGGAGCATCTCGGGATATAGTAACAGCAATATACTGTGAAACACCCATTACACAGTTAGACAGTGCACAAGTAGTGTGTAACGGAAACTGTCATTTATGTAACATATCTCGCCTTGTCAAACTAAGGAAATGCACTCTTAAAGTGGTTTTTCATTTTATTTCATTTCTTAACAAGATAAAATTAATATGTTGTGCCTGCCTTTGGATTATATACAGAGCTGCCAGGGACTTCGCTACAAGCTTTGTCAACATCAATGTCACTTCAGAGACACATGAAGTCTCTGCTCTCTGGTTCCTGTGGTATGTGAAGCTTTGTGGAGGAACCACCAGGATTTTTACTATAACCAACGGAGGGCAGGTAAAGCAAGTGATTCATTTGTCCTTTCTTTTGAGAGTTCAAAATGAATGAATGTGATTCTGCATTTGTGTAATAGGGAGAGTTTTTAAGTATAATAAGGAATACGTTCGCAACAGTTAGAGCAGCTTTTCAGTTGTGGAAACGGGTGCCCATTGTGGAAGGTCAAAAAAGTTAGTGGTGACTGCTATCTTGAGTTTCATTGGCTTCCCTCTGCAGACATCTCAATCTGGAATAATTAATGAAATTTTTATTTATTGGCAGTATTTTTAGATTTCTCCTGAAATTAGATTAATAACAACTTTTATTCTAGTCCCGTGATGGCAAAAATCTGTGACACATGTGCCAGAGGTGGTGTGCAGAGCCCTCTCTGTGGGCACATGTGCCTTCGCCACGCCAAGTTGCTTTCTGGCTGACAGCAGACTTCATGTATAGATCACACTGCCCTCCCCCATCCCATTTGCAAAAAAATGGATGAACCGTTTAACTTTTTGCCCAGTTCATTGAATTGGCTGATTGCACCACTGGCTGACCCTGCCTCACCCCTCTTTATCTTACCTTGCCCGTGTTGGCTGTTCACCAGAGCCACGCCCGCCACCCAACTGTTCTTTGACTGCTCTCTGGTTCCTTGCCTGCACCCACTCCTCACTTGCTTGCCATTGCCGTTTGCCCAGACCATGCGGCCAGGCCCAACTGCTCCTGCTCCTCGGTTGCTTGACTGCGTCGCCTGCCTAATTTTGGGAAAGTTGCTGTCTGTGTGACTGTGTGACACATCCCCTCACTTGCTTATTGTCATCACTCACCCGGACTATGTAGCCCAGGCCCTCCTGCTCCTCTCCCATGCGTCGGTGTCCGCATGCAGCCCAGGACATCCGCCCCCTTGCCAGCCAGGAACGCTGCCACCAGTTGCTCCCGTGCACCAGCTTACCTGCCTCTGTACCGCCCGGTGGCTTTTAACAACACTGCCACCAGGAAAGGCCCCAAAGCTGTGCTGCTTGGGATCCATGTGGGCTGTCGCAGGGGGAGGGCAGGCATCGCTGGCTGGCTGTACGCTGCCCAGAGCATATGGTTGGCACGAGGAGGAGGAGCTGGCACCCCTTGCTCACCTGCCTGCCTTCGTACTGCCCAGTGGCTTTTAACAATGCAGCAGCTCGCTCAGGGCGCTGCACCCGCAGGTACATGGGAAAAACTAATTTTTCTGATCTAGAAACAGAATTGTGGAAAAAGAGATGAAATATCTAGACATTTTAAGTGTAGAGAATGTATGTGTTGAGAATGGCCCATTTCATCTCTTTTTCCACACTAGGTACAAATAGTGGATTTCTTTTCATTTTATTCAAATAACAACAAAAAACCCAATACAGTTCAGTATGAATTAGCTTTCCAGTCCCTCCTTGATGCACTTTTTTACATTGGATATCTAGTTTAAATGCCAAGAAAAATCAATGATATATTTTTCAGACCTTTGGAGGCTTACACTGTCAATCGTTCAGACTGCTCAAAGCTATATTGTTTAAAGCAAAACTAACAGGTGTGAATTAAGTTTTAGCTAAAAAATGGAGCTTTAATTCCAGAAGTCCATTCTTTAAACTTGGACTTCTGGAATTAAAAGGCTCTGGATTAAATGGTACTCTAGACAAGAGATGGAGAAGAGTATCTTGCTTTTAGACATGTTACTAGCTGTTTAGAAAGGTGAATTATGAGCTATTTTTACATCATCAGAAATTTAATTTCTGCAGCTCTCTCCTGGCTAAAAAATTGCGTAAACTTGAATAACAGAAGACTATTATTACTAGAAGGGCACAACTTACAATTGAGCTGGCATACCTTTCTCTGGTGTGGCAGAAATATGGTGCACAAATATTTCCAGAGGCATTATGTGAGGAATGCATTACTTAACATTTGGGAAAAAAATTAAACTACAACACTATAGGGAAGTACCAGTCTGGCTCTCTCTCAATGGAGGCAATAATATATCCAAATCTTATAAATTGGGGGAAAATTGCATGTTACAAGGATATTTTAGATGAAAGGGGTGATCTTAAATCCAGACAACAATTGCAGAAGCAGGGGTTGGACTTATCTTGGTGGCTGTATTTGCAGATCCAAGCAAGGCACGAAAAAGATGTTACATTATGGGGTATAAACAAAGAATAAACAGCATTGGACAAAATTTTAATGGGGATGGATGAAAAAATGATTTAAAAAATATATAATTATTTACTGAATTATAAAATGGAGGAAGAGATAGTTAAACAATAATTGCCTAGACAAGGAAGAGTTTGGCATAGAGATAGGCATTAACGGATTTGATAAGATATGGATGGGAACTGAGAACAAAATATTAGCCAAATTGTATAATTACTTGCTGGAATACGACATGGTAGAAGAGGTGGTCAAGGATCAGATGATAGCATGGGCTAAAAATATTGGACAAAACATAAATTTAAACGAATGGGACACAATTTGGAAGAGTAACCTTAAAATGACCAGGGCGGTAGCTTATAAGGAAAATCAATATAAGATGCTGTACAGGTGGCACTTAGCCCCTGCCAAGATTGCCAAAATCTATCCCAATGTGAATTCCAACTGTTGGAAATGTGGCCACCATCAAGGCACTTTCTACCATTGTTGGTGGACTTGCCCCCAAGTGAAAAAATTTTGGAAAATGATTTGGAAATGGATCACAGAAATAATAGAAGACAATATCGATTTTGAACCAAAAATCTTTCTCCTGGGAATCCTGAAAACAGAATATGGAAAAAAAAGAAGTACCTAATTATACATATAACGACAGCGGCAAAAATAATGTATGCTCAGTATTGGAAAGAGAAAAAATTACCACCCGAAGAACAAGTAATCAGGAAAATACTAGAGTGCGCCAAAATGAATAAGCTAACACTAGAACTTAACGAAAGAGAGAACACGGAATACTATAATGTGTGGGAGTTGTGGTATGAGTGGATAGAGAAAAGAAACAAAAAGTGAAGTTTGAGAAGTATAAAGGTTAACTAATAATGATCATAAAGAATTGAGTATTATTATTCGCATTATTAAATTGCAACTAAGTAAGGATGTAAATTTATGTAAACAAGTAAACAACATGTATATATGATCATAAAGAATTGCGCATCACTATTTGTTATATCTTTCAAATTATATCAAAGTATATGCAAAGATCAATACTATGTGAATAATATGTAAATAACATGTATTTATATATAGCCTTTTATTGAATAGCCCGAAGGCCTTTTCAAAAAAAAGAAAAAGATCAAACAGTTACAGAAATAACAGTCTAAAAATATATAATATGTGACATTTAAAATTTGACAATATCAAAGTTCAATAACTAGATTTCCAAAACTAGATAACCCAAATAAGATAGCTCCTCTCTAACTCGGCTCATCTTTCTTACAGTCAATGAAATTCTTTTTGATATAACTGGCTCATATTGCTGTCATCCTTTTAAGATAGCGAGTAATAGCCCTTACCAGGGGAGGAGAGTCTGCCTTCAATAGAAATGATAATTTATGCCTTACATTCCAGTGGGGAAATTTATTTATAATTGGGGACAGATATTTTTTTCTTACTTCCTCATACAACCTACATTCAAATATTATATGCGCCGTATCCTCCACATATACATGTTCTTTCGTCATACGGGATTTTCCGGTAACGGCCGAATTTGACGTTGGTATCTAAAAGTTCAAATCTAAACTTGACAAATAGCTCTCTCTCCATTGATGGCATTTCTAGATGTAAATATTTTTCCAGGGTAAAAGTTGTTTTAACTGCTGTCAGAAGCTTAAGGGAGTGATTAGTTGAAAGAGTTGCCATGTCCACTTGCCCATGTATATCTTTAATTCGTTGTTTAACTTGCTTCAGTGTGTCACACAACGGGAACCCTACGCCATATCGATTCAACATTTCTGACAGCCGAGTTAGCCAGGAATACCTTTGAGGATTTGAAATCTGCTGTTCCTCTAGGCAGATTTTGGGAAGTCTACTGGCTTCCATCTGAGTCATTTTTAGCCAGTAGGCTACCGCCCTAGTAATTGTGTAGGTGTGCAGTGAAAAATATCCCAATTCAGCTCTGACAGCTGCCGCCGAAGTGGAATTGTTTACCCCCAGCATCCTTCTTAACAAATTATTTTGAATTCTCTCCAATATGGGGGCCTCTGTAAGACCCCAGATTTCAGCACCGTAGAGCATAATCGGAACAAGTTTAGCCTGAAAGACTTTACGAATTGGTAAAATTGAGGTTGGTTGAATACATTTACTTAATTTGGATACAAGGCTTGCCCCAGCTCTGACCTTTTGAGAAAGGTATTGATGGTGCGGAGTCCAACCATCCGCACTGGAAAAAACAATTCCAAGATAGGTATATTGGGTAACTTGCTCAATCTTTGTGTCATTAATATGCCAATTATGCTTTTTATTCTTATTGCCAAAGACTAAAACTTTGGATTTCGCTATATTTATAGTCAAATGGTTTGTAGTACAATAACGTGAGAGCTTGATGAGAAGTCTCTTCATCCCTATTTGGGTTCTAGAAAACAGCACTAAGTCATCGGCGTACATTAATACATTAATAAATCTTGAGCCTATTTGGGGGCTATGCGTCAGAAGATCTTCCATCTGCGTTGGGATATCATTTATATAAAGGTTAAAAAGAGTAGGGCCCAGCAGGCAGCCCTGCCTCACTCCTCTAGTTGTCGGTATGCTGTTTGTTGAGGCCCCATTTGCCGCATATCTGACTCTAATTGCCGTATTAGTATAGAGAGTCCTGATCAACAAAATAAGTCTGGGGTCCATCCCCATGGCTTGTAGTTTCCTCCACAGATGGTTCCTATCTATAGAATCAAAAGCAGCTGTAAGGTCAATAAAGGCGGTATACAGCTTTTTCCCCTGGGTCTTGTATTTATTAATTAAGTGGGAAAGGACAAAACAATTGTCAATGGTAGACCTACCCGATCTAAAACCTGCCTGCTCATTTGCCAGAA